TAACCGTCCGCTATACATTTAGGCATAGCATTATTATACTACAAAAATTAGATGTCTTACTTTCTCAAACTCGTATCTTAGACTGAGTGATTATTGAGGAGATGGCAAAATTTTCTATTTATTTTCAACTTCTTATCAAGGGTGTTAATTTGGATTGACATTACTTTAAGAATAGGTGTGGAATATGAAAAAAATGTGATGTCAAAAATTTGTATATATAATCCATTTTTCGCATTTCAGTAAATTTGTCTTAAAGAGTTTGAGAAAATAAAGCGACTAATCATTGCATTATATGTATACATAAAAAAATATTCATATATCTATGTGTGCAATGCAGTCTATAGTCAGCCAACTATATTCGGAATCGTTCGGTAAGCATCGGAGACGATCGGTAATTCGTCTCTTAATAGAAAATTGAAATCGTTTTCAGTCATTGTTTCGTTTCCACGTGTACTAAAGTACAAATCGGCAAACTTATGTGTAATGTGGAAATAAAAGGAACTAACTCGTGTCACGTTCAAAAGTATCCAACTGCGTAGACGCGAGCGCCACGACTCATAACACAGTTAACGTGGTCAATTTGTTATACTGACTGTAGGTACGTTTGCATACATACATAAGTACAAATACTATACCGTAGTAGTCGTATATTTAATTTTTATTACCTTTGAAGTATGAAAAATGTTATCGTATATAGTAATGGAGGCAAAACTAATGTTTTTATACTTTCAATCGATGCCATCGTTTTGTTACTTATTTAAAGCAGAATGTTTTCAGTTTTGTAGCATTTCGGTGTTAGAGTCAATTTAAGACGCCGTCCACACGTCTTCCATCAGACCGCAAATTCGGTATAACGCTATTTCGTAAATACATATATAATATATTCGACGAAACATCGTTATCCGGGTTTACTGGGGTAAATAAAATATGAAAAAGCTCTTGAGGTTAGGAAGGTGTTTTCGACGGTGTTGTATGATTATTTATGCTCTGTTTGGCTTGATGGTTGACTGTTAGAGGACCCCTTATGGCATTACGTCCGCCATTTGCATGTTGCATGATTATATTGTGAAATAAATATTTTAGTAGCAATAGATCTCCTTGTGAAAGAGTTCGTCTAGGGAACTACTGCTACCTTACCTATTTCCGCTGCCAGCAGTAATGTCACATTATCGATTTTGAAGGATAAGGAAGGAAGGTCCTGGTAAAATTTTAAATCCGGCAATAATTGTTGGCGAACACGGCAGTGTGAGTCGTAATTTTGTGCGATTGCTGTACCTCCAAAACGCATCCAGCTTTAATCTCAGCCGTGACCACTAGCGGGACGTCCCACAGTCTGTTTTATTTTCCGGTTTACGTTAAATATACGTACTTATGTCTCCCACTGGGGTAGTCAGATACCATGTACTCCACTTGCTACGCTCTTGGCAAGCTCTATCGTATCTTCCACTTGAATCAGTCTCTTCATTCAGGCCTATTTTTTTCTTTATGAAACAAAATGACGGGACGAACAGGTATTACGCCTGATGATAAGCGACATGTCTGTCCATAACAGTTGCCGTGCCGCTCAGGGCTTTTAATAGCAAAGATCTGAGGGACTCACTGCGTCCGTAGTCCTGAGTGCCTATAATTTCACCAGCACGTTTACATTTCAAAGCTGAAACGCAGAAATAGGTAAGTTGGCAGTACGTCTCTAGACGAACTCTTAGGAGCTCTATTGCTACTAAAACGCCTGCTTTTACATAATCATCGTTCTATTTTTGAAAGGTCATCCCTTTGTTTATTTTTACGTTAAAATAATTCTATTTCAAAAGAAACTCTATACCACACGTTCCTTTTCAAAATTAATACGTTTTCACTAACGTTAAACTAGCGGAAGTTTCGCCATAACATTTGTTGACCACGAGTTCGCCACGTGACCACATTTTGCTTGTAATATTCGCACACTTTATGTTATTTTAATGTCGAGCGTTTACACACGTGATTGCGGCCGACTAATATAACTGTGTTATCTGTCAGAATTACTTACTTTTAGTTTTATTAAAGAGAACAATGAATGGTAATAATGTATTTAATATTAATAATACATAATTAAACCTATGAGATATGGTATATACATACTGCCTTCGATAGAAAGGCACAAGTAGCGAATTCTAAATTCGGAGATAACTGTCTTTAAATATTTGTTAGGTTTTTCTGATAAAAAGAATAGTTTTTTTTTATAACTTCAACATCGTCAGTTAAAATACACGTTTCATATTATTTGATATATATACATGTCACATGTTTTATACGGACTCTTACTTTTAATTTTCTCTTTTAACTTGTAGAAAAAAATCTTACTGCATATAAAGGGCGTAACTAATTTAAATGTGATTTTTAAATCTTGTCTCAGGAATAGAACTAAAGGGCACGACTGTATTTAAGTTGTGCCTTTTTTGAACTACATAATAAGGGCAAAGTTCAATTCATTATTAAGTAATATCCGTTGATATTAGTGTTTTCAACATAATATAATAAATGTGAAATGTGACTTTTTGTAGTAAAAAATCTGTTTATTGATGTCAGTTGTGCCCTTTTAGCTTTATATCCAACATTCGCTTATTTAGTATTGACGCAGTTGTACTTCTTGTAATTTTACAAGAAATAGATATTGATTTTGTTAATTTTATTTTAAATGTATGACGTGACCATATAACTTAGTGTATTTTTACAATAATATGTACATTTAAAATTACCGCTAATTTTTCTTCAAACGTAAACATTTGTTATGTTACAAATGTGTTGACATACATAATTCAATTGTGCCATTTTTCCACTGGTACTGGTATCTTAGTCACCCTGAGACATAAGTTGACAAGTCCCATGGGCCTGTAATATCACCAGCACCCTTACCCTTCAAAACCGGAAAACATTAATGCTGACATTACTATTTGACGGCAGAAATAGGTAAAGTGGCAGTACTACCCTGGACGAACTCTGTCACAAGGAGCTCTACAGCTACCAAAATTATAGACTAAAGATGTTACACGTAAACTCTTATTCGTTACAAGTAGTAATTTAGTCATGAGGTAGTAAGAAACGTGTACACATGATCTTTCAATAGCTGCACGCTTGAAAACAATACATTTTAACTTATTTAAATTCCAGTGCTATGTTACGAAATTAATGGCCGACAGTTAGCATTGCCAAATAGAGTTCCGGGTTTGGTTACCAGCCAAATCTACTTTCATGCTGTTTTACGCAGTATAATATAGTCTGTAACAAAAGAAAAAACAAGTTACTAATATTGCAAGCTGCGCTTTTATTTACCTACAACTTAAATTATGATTTTTATGGTTATTGAAACTGAGATCAGTATGTACTGTCTAAGTACATAGACAAAGGTTACTTTTTGTTTATATATACAATGTTTAACCGGGCATAGTGAATCCACATTTATTTTGTTACTGTTATTCACAACCTGTTTCCAGAAAGGATCTATAAAACACGAGCTGGTGCCGCCCGCACTCGTCTCCGTAGATACGTACAGTCGGTGCCTCACTTACGCATTCACTAATTGTATAACATTTAGTACAAGTAGTGGATACTTAAGTGAGGGCACCGACTATATAAGAAGAACATCGAGTTGCATACTACGCAAATTTTCATAGTTTTATTGGCTGTCCATATAAACTTTCATCCTCTATTTCACCCTATTTAAGATTTATTTTTGCAACAAAAAGGAAAGTCCTAGGTCCCATCTACTTCTATACCAAAATTCATCAAAATTGGGTCAGTGGTCTGAGCGTGAAGACGTAACGAAGTTACTTTCCCATTTATAATATTATTTTGGAAGTTTGGTCTAGTTGAACTCGTCTGATTTTTCACAAAGACCTTTACTACTGTTAAAATGCGTTGGCAACTGAACAGCGTGCGATTAGGTATTAATGTGGTGGTAGTGCTTGTCTCACAATGTAGTGTGTGGTGTTGTATGCAGCAAATACCAACCGCCTGCTGTGCATGAAATTATGGTAAAGTTTAGATAAAAATATAAACTACCCTATTAACCCTAACGGTGAGACTTCAAGAGTCGTTCCAATGAATTTATCTAATAGTGTAGCCCTACAACCTAGCGGTGTGTAGCCTAACCTAACCATAAATATATAGACGGAGAAATATATACGCAAGATATGAACGGGAATGTGTGAATGAAACCTAAGGTGACAAACGGAAGGAGGTAAGGAAGTACACGTCGTGCAATGTGTACTGGAAAGGTATTCTCACTGCCGGTCAAGCAGACTCACAAGACCGATCTACTGATGGCTAAAGGTGTCTTGGCCACAGTGATAGAAGTAGCGGGTAGTACTAAGCAGGATGATGACTTTGATGAGTTAAAATCGTATGGTAGTGAATCACTGAGTATATTTACAAATCTTATTACTATTTATACAATTTTTATGACAAATACATAGTGATAGGTTTACATGTGCAACAGCAATGATGTGCTGTTGACTGAACATCGCGTCCAGTTCAACGGAACAAACGCCGTCAATATGTGGCTTGATGTGCTGCTGTCTGTACTGTAGGCGTTTACGTAAATTACGTGATCATAGGAATGAAATATCCAAACTCTTCCGCGGAATTCTCGCGCATGCTCGAGATAGCTCCCACATTCTGCGGATTTTGACTCGTATCTGGTTTGTACGTTACACAACTGACCATGAACAACAACAGCACATCAGACTACACATTTTTGTTCGAAAATCGCCTCCATTACAACAGAACAAGATACGTCAATATGTAGCTTTATGTGGTGGCGTCTGTACAATACCGTTACAAAAATTTGCTTCCATTCTGTTCCGCCGCAATATAAATTGAGACTTAGTCCGATTCACTTCATATTATATTGTGTCCATTTTGATGTACACGGAGCCTTACAAGAATAGTCAGTTACATATTCTAGTCTTGCGATGATATCTGTTATGATTATCTTACTAAATGTTGCCTTTAATTGTTCGCAGGCTGTGGACTGGTGGTCAGTCGGGGTGCTAACCTACGAGCTTCTCACGGGAGCCTCTCCGTTCACAGTTGAAGGCGAGAAGAATACACAACAAGAGATTACAAAACGTATTGTTAGGTGCAGCTATCCCGTACCTACGGATGTCAGCCCTGAGGTCCAGGACTTTATTAAAAAGTGAGTTTTTACCAACAAAA